CTGCTCAGTTCCATATGTTGCTGTATATTCGGATTGTAGCTTACTTTGTGTGTTTACTGGATTTTCTTATCTTCGGAGNTGATAAATTGGGTTAAGTGTTGAATAATGGTCGGGCTTGCCTAGTAGTGTGCTGGGTGCCATCAGGATTTGGGTCGTGACAAGAGAAGTATTAAAAGGACTAAGTTTCTCCCTACAACAAGTAAGCAAACCTCCAAAATTTGCATAATCTTTACACTCGCATTTCCTTAGTATTTTATGCTAAATGGTAAAGCCTACATAAAGTAAAAGCCATCATGAGCTACTTGATGAAGTAAAGCCATCATCAACTAAAATTAAACACTTTTTATAACAGTAGCGGCTTGGCCAACTTGCCTGCACCTTGATTGTACCCATTAAATTTATTCACCAAAGTTTAGATAGATGAAAAGAATCATCTAGTGTTTTTCATCTCCGGATTTGAATCCTGATCTCTCATGATTTTCATCCACCTAATTGATCACTAGCCCACAATATTGGATGTAACAAAGTACCTTTTCTAATATTGTTCAGAGTCAGCTCGGTAAGAGAGAATAGTGAACCTGTAATCGGCAGGAGAGTCAGGCCAACGAGAAGGATTGCGACGAGATAAGGGCAAAGTGTGGTGATCGAAATAATCTCTCCAGTCCAAAACGGTGTCATTGGACGCTACGAGCATGCGACTGCCATATCCTTCAGAAGCAGCAGAACCAGAATCGCATGAATACCTAAGCTTCTCTTCCATCGGACGCTCTTCAAAGAAAGTCCGACCGACGCGCCTCATATCATCCAACAAACCAACCGGAACCCTATGGTTTATCACGTGAAATGCTCCCCATTCTTTGCACGCTTTTCTAAGTTCTTCGAGAAGGTTTGTTCTTGGATTACTAAAATCAATTACTGGTATTGAATTTACGTTAGGATTAGGGTTAGAGTTAGGGTTTTCTCTTTGTGATCTGCTTTCCGGTGGTTGTATGTACTGAGATGGTACTGACATCTCACCCTTTTCTGCCAATGATTGTACTCTCAGAGCCTCCATGAATTTTAGCTAGTAATTTATAAATACAGGGATTATTGGAAAATTGCAGTTCAGTGGTCCGGCGATTGGATAGAGACGGCCACCGAAAATGGCCTTGCGCGGAGGAGGAATTGAGACGTGATGGTAACAGAGAATCTGAAATCAGTGAATTTTTTGTACGCTTGAGAATTATTTGTATGGAAAGCTCCATTTTTCCCCTTGTGTTTCCAGTTTAGCCCCATAAACTTTTAAGTCAAAGGGCAAAAGATCCCCTGAGAGTATCTATTTACGCAGAAAGATAATACTATTACTTACCATTAAAGTGTATCATCATCTCTATCATAATCATGGGATAAAATTTTTAGTACCGCCATATCTCTTGTTTGGTTACTAATCCTAAAATAAATTATCACATGAATAAAAATAATAGCGGGATAGTAATCTCATACCTGCCAAATAGTGGAATAGTAATCTCAGGATAAGTTACCCCAAGATAAAACAGTAAAATTGATAATCCCAGGATCAATACAACATACCAAACAATAAATAAAAAATAATACCAGAATAACTAATCTCACTATAACTAATCACCACATTGCTTGTTTTCAAACCAAACGACCCATAAACATTTAGATCTTAGATCATCATTTTTGTGAACAATGTAATGACAATTTCCATTCAACTTTTACATAGCTCTATGTGATGACTCGCCATTTCATCATACCACATAGGTGCCATTTGGCATATATTAATGCCATGTGAAAGCTTATTTATGAGGAAGACTAGCATTTGTGAGAAAATTCTAGAGAAGTATGAACATTTCCTTTGAAAGATCCTAGATCTCTATGGATTTGTTAGAAAAGTTCTTGGAATCTTCTAGGCTTGTAGAGAATTCTAGAGAAAGCTCTTATCTTGTAAATATTAAGGACTTGTGTAACAATTAATATTTACACATTAGCCCCTAGGAGACTAGTAGATAAAGGGGGCCACTCATTTGTAATTCACCAAGCAAACAATTCCAGTTCTCTCTAATATAAAGCTTCCTTTAACAATTCTCTTGTGTTCTTTCTACCATTCTCTTAGCGATCTTGAGTGTAGTAAGGCTGACTTGGCATAGCAAGAATGTGAGCAAGTTGTGCAAGATTGTGAGCGAGTTGTCAAGTGCCGCACGTGTACTTAGTTAACGACTAAGGACGTGACAACGTGGTATCAGAGCAAAGGTTGCAACTAAGGGAATGACGAATGACGGAGAAACTAACGCTGCCAACACCCAAGCCAACGTCATCCAGGATACTGCTAGCAAGAAGGGTCGTAACAAGAAGAGGAATGCCATCAACAAGAGCCAGGAGATACCACTGATGTGCCGTAGAATTGCAACACTTTTGATACTAATTACATAGGTTGTAGCTCGTCTTTTAAAGCATATTAAGTCAATTCTTATGTATTTTTGGTATTTTGCAGCAAACTAGACTTCAAGAACCAAGAACAAGGAAAAGACGATAAAAATCCATAGAAGGGCAGAAATGCGGCAGGTTTGCGACCGCAGAAGTGATGTGCGGGCCGCAAACCAACTGTATAGTGAAACAGATAAACTCAGCTTTTGAAAATTGACTTTACGGTCAATTCTGCGGTCGCATAACACTTATGCGGACCGCATAATGATCGCAGAGTTGCAAAGGAAATTTCTGCGAGAGTAATTACGCGGCGTCACATTGGATCGCACAATCAATATGCGGACCGTAGAATGGTTCTGCGATGGAGAACTGAGAAATTGGAGATTCAATTCCGCGATGGAAATGGTGAATCTGCGGGACGCAAACGTGTTCTGCGGTCGCAGATGTGATCTGCAGGGGTATTTTTGACACATCTTGACCCCGACTTTTAGCCCATTATAAATAGAATAACTAGGGTTTTTATGTGGCATCTTGTCTGAAAAAGAGGCATTGAATACACCATTATTTTGGAAGCTTTTGAAGAGAGAATCTTGTCATCTTTGTAAGTTTTATGGCTTTATTTATTGCTTTANATATATATATATATAATGATTGGTTGGTATAATTCATTTCTCATGCTTCAAATAATGTTGATGGTTGCAAACATGGACTAATGCCATTTCACTCTATCTTTACTTGGAAAAGTGGGTTAGGGTTTGATAGAGCTGAATAACAAAAACTCAAGGTTTTAAACCTTGTTTAATAGAATCACTTAGGAATAAGTGAGTTTTATTTGGCATAAATTAGTTGTCCTTAATTGCAACTCTTTTATATTTTGGAAAAATTACAAAGAGGAAATACTACCTAACTATTGGGAAATATTGGATAGTCATTTAGGAACCATTTGCATATCAAATGACCTTCAATTAGAAATATATCTTATTAACACTGATAGCATTATATTCCATTAATGGGGACATAACCTTGATTTTCTTAATGAAATTAATTACACTCTCATAACAAAATAATTATCTTGCTAATTCACAATTACAACATTCTCTTTTTAAGCTAATGGAGTAGAATTACTACTTAAGTCAAGTTTCACACGATTCAAGTAACCTTTTCACACATATTTCCTATGGGATTCGACCCCAACCTTGTTCAATTATTATATTTGACACCGATAGCCTTACACTATTTATTTAAGTGTAATTTGAGCGTATCAAATTTCGGCAATGTTGCCGGGCAATGCAGTTTTGAAATTACTAATTAGTGTGTGCTTTACTTTACGTCTTCTTCTATTCCATCTCACATTGCTTGCTTTGCTTGGTGTCATGTCACGACCCCAAACCGAACCTGGTCGTGATGGCGCCTCTCGTGAAGACAAGGCCATCCGACACAATTCCGAAATCAACCATTTTCCATTAAAAGTTGTTTTTATACCATTTATAAACCAATAATCTCATAATGAACATTTAAAAGAAAAATGCGGAATAATTACACAAGCCCGACATCGGGGTATCACTAGTCATGAGCATCTACCAAGGTCTTAATACAACAAGAGTCTAAAAGTGTACTAAATACAGTAATAAAATGAGAGGAAGGAAGCAGTGCTGCGAACGTCGTGCAACCACCTTGCTAACTCTGGTGACTCCGCGTCTGAGCAATCAACACCCGTTACCGGGTTCCGAAATACCTGAATCTGCACACGAGGTGCAGAGAGTAATGTGAGTACTCCAACCCAGTAAGTAATAAGAGTAAATAAAGACTGAGCAGTAGGAAACGATGAATCTACATTTATGATAAACTCAATAAGCTCAACAGACTTTCAAATCGGAATACGAGTCAATCGTCTCATTTTAAACCCAGCTTTCGGTAAAAATCATTTGAAAATGCCTCCCAACAGTTTCAGTAGGGGTTCAATACCATTTATAATAAAAGAGATGAAAACCATAATCGGCCCCTCGGGCAAAACATAGTTCGCATACCGCCCCTCGAGCAAAACAGAAATTTCACAACCCTTTTCATAACTTAGAAACTTTAGTTTAAATGAAAGATTATTTAAAACGTTTGTTCGACATTTTCAATAGAGGCTCGGTTTAAAGATGAGTGAAAGCAGTAATCAAATCAACATGTTCAATAGAAACTCGCTTAAAGAGGAGTGAAAACAGTAAGTTCATAAACCAGCCCCTCACGCAAAGCATCACTCATGTACATGTATATCTATGTAGCCCCTCGAGCGAGCCTCTCTGTCACTCGTGACTCAATTCTTACCAATCAACGCTCACACTTAGCACTCATACTCAATAGGTACCATATAGTAACCGCTACGGCGTGCAGCCCGATCCATATATCGTTGCGGCGTACAGCCCGATCCATATATATGGTCGACTGCACTCATTGGGGGTGTGCAGACTCCGGAGGGGCTCTTACAACCCAAGCGCTATATCGCTGCGGCCTGCAGCCCAATCCATATATATATATATATAATCCTCACAACCAGGCCCTCGGCCTCTCTCAGTCATTAACCTCACAATCAGACTCTCGGTCTATCTCAGTCATCAACCTCACAATCAGACTCTCGGTCTATCTCAGTCATCAACCTCACGATCACTCGGACCATCAGTAAAACAGGGAACTCAGCCCAAACAGTTTTCATATTTTTAAGAAATAAAGTGATAAAACCAGGTTTAAACAATAAACAGGTAAAACATGACTGAGGATACAACAACAACAACAACAACCTAGTGTGGTCCCACAAGTGGGGTCTGGGGAGGGTAGGATGTACGCAACCTTACCCCTACCTTGGAAGGGCAGAGAGACCGTAAAACATGACTGAGGATATGCTTTCAAAACAAATAAAGTGAGAAAAAATAGTAAAAGTTCCCCTAAGGGTCTCAGCAGATCGGCACAAGGCCCAAAACATGGCATACAACCCAAAATATAATATAAATCTCTAGAACATGGAATATCATAAGATTTCAAATCAAATACACGACTTAATAGTCGTACGGGACGGACCAAGTCACAATCCCCAATGGTTCACCACTCCACGCTAGTCATCTAGCGTGTGCGTCACCTCAAAGTAACACAACAATGTGTAAATTCGGGGTTTCAAACCCTCAAGACAGTATTTACAATTCTTACATACCTCGATCCGGTCCAAACTCTAGCCCGCGATGCCTTTCCCCCACGAATCGGCCTCCGGATGCTCCAAATCTAGCCGCAATCATTACATAATCATTAAAATATGCAAAGGGAACGAAGCCCACTCGAAAATATCCAATTTTACATCAAAATCCCGAAATTGCTCAAACCTGCCCCCCGGGCCCACGTCTCAGAATCCGATAAAATTAACATCAATGGAATTCTTATCCTCACACGAGTCTATAAATACCAAGAACATCAAAATCGAACCTTAAATGGCCCCTCAAATCCCAATTTCTAGGTCTCTAATTACAAGCCCTAATTCCCCAATTTTAGGCTTTAATTTCCACATATTTCATGATTAAACAAGTAGGAATCAGCATAGGATCAAGTATAGAGTTCAAAAATCTTACCTCAAAGTGATTCCCCTCGAACCCCTCT